AAGAAATATATGAGAATGTGAGAGAAAGCTAGAAAAAAGTAGAAAGTAAAGAAAAAATATTGAAAGATGATTTCAACAAATTAATAAGAGAGAGGAAAAAAGGAAGAGCAATGGTTACTGATAGATCAGAGAATGAATTCCCATTTAAATAGCATGACATTACAATGACATGCAAAATCAGAATAGAAAAAGTAAAAATACACCAATGGAAAATGAAATTGTAACATCCTGAATATATATTTCAATTTATTCAAGATTAAATATATAGATAATATAGCTGGATTACAATAAAGATATTAAGATCGATGCATATAAAAATTCCAAAATAATGGGCATACCAACAGTACTTAAACGCCATATTAACATACAATAATACTCACACATGTTACATTTTGCAGTATCAACACTCAACTCATCCGGAGTACCCATACCTGATTTTCATTCTAGAACTGAGGCTCTATTGAGTGAGTTGAACATAACTCCATTGATGGTATTGGACATCATCTCTAAATTAGAAATCTCATAAAGCAAGTGGTCCTAAAGAGATGTGCCCATGAGCTGGCTCCAGTACTCACCAAACTATATAACTATTGCCTTGCTGTCTTTTGCTTTTCAACCTGTTGTACCTGTTTTTTAAGAACTACCATCCTATCAGTCTTCTACCACTCTTCAACAAAGTCTTCAAGGCTTTAATTAATGCCAAAGTGGTTAAACACCTTACCTCTCATGATTTACTCTCTGACAAACAATATGGTTTCCTCTTTGCCCCATTTACCACTGATGTGCTTATGGCAATAACTGAATTTGTATACCAATCTTTTGATAATAACTGCAAATTCCATGCTTCTTACACCTGTTGATACATTGCAGTAAGAGTTGTAGGTAGGCTAACTGAAAGAATTGAGCACTATCCCATATATGTTTAATAGGAGAGTGGTCTGGTAATCATACCAACCAGGAAAGTTGTTGAATATATTGCACAGCATACTGAATAGTAAGGGTAACATGTAGGCAGGTTTTATTCTGTTGGTAGAACACATTGCCTTCTTGTGGCATGAATGGCTGCAGAATGGGTTGATTCAAGTGCAGGAAGAACTTGGTGATGTTCACTCATAACAGCTTACTCTTGAGCTGTCATTCTTTTCTTAAAAAATATTTATAAATTCAAGCAGTATCACTAGTATGTAAACAATTAGTAAATTTAATTAATTTATTTCTTGTTAAGCCACTCTTTAAATTAGTCAAAAGAAAATTCTTTGGCTGTGACTGATTTGATAGAAAATAAAATTGTAATGCTTTACTCCAGATTAAATAAACTTGTAACATAACTAGATTACAATAAATGATCACATATACAGATCAGTACAAGTCTCAAAATAAGAAGCATACCAACAGTATCCAGACCCCACAGCAACACCACTGCATATCCTCTAGGCATTAATACAGGCCCATACTCTCGTATTTATACAATCACTAGCAGCGTGGCCCGGCGTTGCCCATGCTTGATTAAAAAATCGTACGACTCATACAGCAATCGCTATCACTTGACTTAAAATATTTTTGCCCTTCCTTGCCTTTAAAGAAGTGCCCTTTGCCATGTTGATGTTGCTACATGCCTTACCTATTGCCTATCTCACACTGCAAATTTTTTCTAAGCTCTATACTAAACATTAAATCTGTTACAAAAAAAGAATTAAACAAAATGAACACAAAATGATCAGCTTTAAAAAAGGACTCGTAACTGGAAAAACCAAATGAAAAAGGAATGTTAACAACAAATACTTTTTTACACACAACCCAGTTCTGCGGAATCAGAATCAACGTTGAATTTAAACAAGCAAATGAGCCAATTGGAGTAAAGCGCCATGAAGATTTAAATTTTTCCCACTTGTGACGAATGCAGCTATCAATTTTTTTGCATGCTAGCATACTAGTTAACATTCATGTCAGTTAGCTGTTGGCTCTCCCACTGGCCAATAGAATCTTCCTGCCTATTCGTGGCAGCCAGCTGTAGGCTCTCACTCTGGCCAGTAGAAAATGGCCGCAAACTACATGAAAACTGCCATAGAAGCATGAAAAAATCGATTATTTCCACTATTGATGGGAGTTGGGAAATGCAAAGTTGGTCTTGGCCTTCCCGCTAACTTGGAGCATCTGCATGTAAATTTTGGTGCAAAACCGTTGAAAATTGTGGCCGTGCATTTGTTTCACACACACACATCCTGCCTTTTATAGATAGAGATACAGATTGCAAACACCATTCTACACTATTTCATGTTCCTTGAACCTGTTGATACGGTGCAGTAAGATTTTTAGATTGGCTAACTGAATGAATCAAGCATCATTCCATCATTTTCAATACATCAATGGGGAACAAGTTGACCAAGGTCAAATAAAGAAAGAATTAAGTCAAAAATCAACATAGTCTTACAGGCTGTTGCAATTTTATTTTCTGTCAGTGTAGAAACAGGCCTTCAAAATATAAGAATAATTCTTTTTCCATATATTCAATCTGTAGCTTACTGTAGATTCACTTATGGAATTTATAAGATTCTTAAAAAGCAATGAGATTAAATTCATTGAGTCTAACAAGAAAGCTACATCAGATCCACCATCAAAAGTTGATGAAAAAATTTCAAACATATTTCCAAAGAGAGAAATCAATAAATCTTGAGTAAAATTTCTAAGTTTCATAATTTTACTTTTACTTGGAGTGGTTGCTGAAGTACACACTTAAAATAGTTAATTTTTTGAAACAGGAAAGTCAAATATTGAAGTTGCATTGAAAATTAGGATATTTTTCTTTAGAAAGTAATTGTCATTTGTAGAGTGGATAAACTACAGTGCATTCCAACATTTTATATAAATAAAAAAAAATTACAAGGATTATAAAATTAATGGTTGGAAAGTCATGAAAAATTGGTCAGATATAAGTCTTTTGTGTATGTGGAATAACCCAGAAAAGAATTGACTTTATACTTGAATATATAACAAAGATTTCCATTTTTTATACAATCTTCTGAAAAATGCAATGTAAAACTCTGTAAGGATAAAAAATTGAAAGCCAAAGACTAACTCAACAATAATTTATTTAAAGAAGTGATAAAGAAAACTACTCCTGACATGCTGGTTTCAACAACAAAGCAAACAAGTAATATGACTGATATAATTTCCATTTTGTCTAATGACTTAAAGCAACCTACTGTTGAAAGAAGTTAAATTGAGAATTCTTCAGTCATATATTGCTTATCAAACTTCATTTTTAGATACTTCTAATGTCCGAAATTTTATTTATTATTTATTTTTTATTTTTTCATTAATTCTATACTTCTAAACTTTAAAAATTTATTTACTATTTATTGTTTTTTATTTTTCCTTAATAGCAGTAGATAGGTTTGCCTATCATCCAGTTCACAATCTTCCCCAGTTTTTTTAACACAAGTAGAAGTCTATACCTTATTTCCTTGTTAGGATTGGGTATCTGGTTCCTTCTAATGTTTTCTCATTCTCTTTCACTTTCAATAAGTCTTACATCTTAGTGGCATTAGAGGCCTGATTGGGGTGAATTGATTAAAAAAACAACAAACAAATTGCTTGCAGCTTTCATTAACATATCTCTTGACAATGCTCCAAACATTCTTCATTGAAACCCTATAAAGCCGTAATTTTGAAACCCTAATTTATTCATCAGTTGCACTAGCAGTATGAGATGGGGCAACGCCCTGCATGAAAATGATTTTTTGTTTGAATGCCATTGTCTTCTTCTTAAGCAATGTTTGTAGGTTAAGCAGAAGTCATTTTAATGCCATGGTTCACCTTCCAGGGATTAAGCAAGTCATAAGCAAAACGTAACCTCTCCAACTCCTTTCTGATCTGTCAACCTAACAGGCCTAAGTTTTTCCTTCAGGTTTGATTGAGTGATTTGTTTTTTATAGCTTATTAATCCTTTGTTAGTTATTTAAAGCTAAAACATATTTTAGATTGTAAAACAATTTTTTTTTTTTAAACAAATATGTGGGGTCACTCACATCATATCAACAGTAATAGCTTTGTGTTCACAGGAATAAAAAACATAAATAGAAATAAAACTAAAAGTCTGTGAAATTCTAAATTAAAATTATATAATTTATTTATTTTAATATACTGGTATGTGTGTATTTTAGTTAGATGTAAGCTTGAATCTAATAGAGGATGAAAGTTACTTCATCTTATGACAAGCAAAGTGCCAAGGAGAGGTAATAGACATCTTGACCTTTTGAAGGTCGGTAGCAAAGAGAGAGAGAAGTTGTGCGTTACTCATTGCATTCTGGGCGATCTTTTATTATTTTGTTTTTATTTATTTTATTTTAAATAAAGTTTTAATGGTATTTATTTTATTTTATTTTATTTTATTTAAGATATTTATTATTATTATTATTTTATATCTTTATTTTAATTATAATAATATCCCTACAAATATATCATTTTTTTGTCAGTGAATATCACTCATAAAGAAAATGATAATTTCTTTTGTGAATAGTAATGATTTTTTCGGATACAAGACCTACTATTTAATCCATAGCTGGGGATAAGAGAGTCATCAATACCTTTCTCTTCCTTCAGGTACACTTACATTTCATTAACACTTGGACCCATTCTATCTGTAAATAGTACTTTCTTGAAATCCAGAAATTTCAAATACTGTTTGACTGGAATGGTTAGCTTGATAAGGGTTGTTTTTTTTATTGATTAATTTTCTATAGCTTATCAACCTTTTGAAGATTATTTAAAGCCAGACATTTTTTTTAGATTGTAAGAAGTTTTTTTTAATAATAATGCTTTATTGATACAAATTTTGTTAATTAACCCATAGTTGGGGTGAGAGACAAGAGGTAGATTCATATCTTTCCCCCAAGAATATTTGCATGTAAGTAAATATAATGAACTTAATGGGAATTGGAACTCAATTCTCTGATAACCAATTCCGAGTCATTATCCATTACACCACTCGCACACTCAAGCTTACAGCAACTGGTATTTCCAAAAGGTCACCCATCTAGGTACTGACCAGGCTTGATGTTGCTTAACTTTGGTGATCATACTGGGACTGGTGTTTTTAACATAATTTGAATGTAAACCTTGCATAATAAGTGATTTGACATAGAAGAAATAATTGATTTGGTGCACATTTTTACATGCTTGCTAATATACAAGTGGATGTTTTTATATTTCAATTTTCAATTATGCTTTCACTCATCAAATGAAAGTCAAAAATTCCCATTTGTTCTCTTTGTCAGGTGGTGCACTGTACATGGCTATGTACAGTGCACCATGATAGTCTCTTAGAAGGAATTTAGCAATTTCTAATGTTGCTTTATGATCATGAAGCATTTGAATTATTTTTTCCTTATCATTATTGCTCAAATATGCTTTATGTTCCATGCTGCATAAAAATTAGAATCATAACAATGAAGCAATATCACCAAAATGGCCACAATTCGTTTACTGTTGTGGAGAACCATGAGTTATTATAAGGTAAGCAAAAAAGTTTTCACCTTTTTTTACATTGTCTTTTTTAAGTTACCATTTCACTTTTGACCAATGCAGGTGCATTGCATTCACACATCAGCCATAGTTGACCAGTGGTGAAGAAACTTGTTGGTGTCAAAGTCGCTCATTTGGGGGTGTATGCTTTATGATTTTAAGGTAGACATCTGCATCAAGTTACTGAAGATGTCAAACCTTTGGGAATAATGCTATGAGGGAACACACAGCCAGGCATTAGTTCCAGAAGTTTAGGTCAGGAGATCTGTTTCTTTATGATGAAACCCTCAGGTCCTGGATGACGAGGCCCTAAAGATGGCCATATAGAAGTACAACAGCCAAACCTGTGGTGAGCTTGCCAAATGCTTGCAGGTTTTTGATGAAACAGTCAGACTTCACCAGCACTGCATAGGGAAGGCATGCAAGTTGAACAAGTGCGTATCCCAAACACTGTGGGGTACCCACTTGTCAACAAGCAACAAAGAGTGATAGCCTGTTTCTTTTTGCTTTCTCAGCACTGAAATGTGCCCTTATTTGATCAAGTGCTCACCAGTGATGAAAAGTGCATTCTCTATGACACTCCCAAGTGTGCCACACATTGTTTATCATCATGGGACTATGTGTCTCACACCATAAGACGACCTCTACACCCATGCAAGATCTAGTGGACTATTTGAACAGCAGTGCTGCTACCGATGGTTCAAAACATCACTGCAGACCTGTAGTCACAGCAGTTGGAATATGTGAAACAGACACTAAAGTAGAAGGAGCCAGTATTTGTTAATCACAAGAGTGTACTGTTCCTCCATGACAATGCTAGATCTCATGTGACGTGTGTGACTAGGGATACCATATGGTGGCTTGGCTGGGAGACACTGTGACATCCACCTTACTCCTTGATCCATGCACCAACAATCACCTCTTCCATTCCCTGGATAACCACCTTTGTGGAAAATCCTTTACAAATGAGGTAAATTTGTGGTAAGCACTCACAAACTTCTTTGCAACCATTTTTACTGCCAGGGAAATATGGCATAACATATATGATGGAAAAACTTGAGTAAATCAACCACTCCAAATATGGGGGAGAAGACAATTATATTCTCCTTTTCTTTACCAACTGAAAATCCAAATTAATCATATACTGAATGTGAGAGTACATAAATCTATTCTTGATTGGTTAAATATTTACAAAATCTGCATATGTGAGTGATATGAAAAAGACTTCATTAACCTCATATATTTTCATAGAGTAATTTGAAAGTCAATAATTGTGTTTAAAAAATAGAGAAAATCTTTTTAAAAAAGCTATGATATTTATAAAAAATGATTCATAATAAATTTTATGAAAATAAGATAAAGACTTGTTCATAAAAACAAAATGGCCTCATCAATTGGCTCTATTGGTGCATGATTTTACAGTTAAAAGGTCAAGTGATCACAGCCCTTTATTATAAAATTGGACTAGAAAAAAAGATAGGCAGACAAGTGAGCTATGAACTTTCTCATACTTTCTACTTCTGACTTTTAAGTTATCTCTCATATATTTGAAGAAGTGCATTATTAGAGTTTACTCAAGAACATCTATCTTACAGCATTGTTTTTAAGATAATGAATACTTTTTTTACATAATGATTAGAAAGGATACCTGGCATTACCAGTTAAAGATATATGTACTAGAATTTTTATTAGCTTTTGATGGTTAACTGAGCTCTTTCTAAATATTTATCAATAATAGATGAAACTCAAAACAGAAAACAACAAATGTCAAAATGATAATATGTTGAAATCTGGAACATGAAGCCAATATGAGAAAAATTTTTCTGGGGCTTATGGACACACCCCATTGAAACACCAGTTCTTGTATGATCACCAAAGTTAAACAACATAGCCTGGTCTGTATGTAGATGTCTGACCCATTGGGAATAACAGGTTCTGTAAGCTTGGATGTATGGTTGGTGTAATGGATAATGGCTCGGAACTGAACTTGGTTTGTTATAATCACTCATGCACAAATGCCCTTGGGAAAGGTATGAATCCACCTTTTCTTCCCTAGCTATGGGTTAATTAGTAAGGCTTGTATCACCAAAATTATTATGATCACAAGAAAAAAATTGTATACAAAATATTTAGATTTCAATGTTGATATGTCGTTAAACAAAAAAAAACGGTAAAGAAAGAAAACCTTTTTTGGCATTTCAGCAAAATGTCTACGTGTGGTATTTATTTATTTTAGTCTTTTTTTAACCTCAGTAAAAAAAAAAATAAATAAAACATAGGTTTAAATCTAAGGAAAAATTCTATTGAATATTGTTTAATTTAGGAGACAATTTTTAACATTTTAACAATTTTTAACATTTTAAATGCAAATTACAACAGAGAAAACTTTGTTTCCTTGATTTCAATTTTGAATAAAGGTTTAATATTAAAGAGTTTAAACAGTTAAAATCCCTAAAAATCACTGAGGTGCATATTCTTGTGTCTCCTCCCCAAACACTAAGGCTGGAATAAAATAATATAAAAAAAATATGATATTAGTGTAATGGTTATGATAAAGTGGAATTGGCAAATCAGGTTCAAATTCCAGCATAGTCTGTCACATTTACTTTCATCCAAATACACCTGGAAAAAAACTTGAATCTATCTCTGCTGCCTATGGCTTGCTAACCTTGGGTGGCAACCAGCATAAAGGACGGAAAACTGAATCCAAAATGATGAAGAAAAAAGGCAATGGGAAACCCCACCACTTTTTCCCAAGATGTCATGGTAATTCACCAATAATAAAGAATGTGGAGATTGCCTATGTCCTGAAGGGACATATCATTTTGAGAAGAATTTGAAAAAAAAAACATGTTAAAGATAATGTAAAAGGTATGTAACCAGATATTCAAAGTAAAAAAAATTAATTTAAATGAAGTAGACTTATTTTTATTAAATATATCAAGCATTCTGAGGTTTCCAAACGTTTTTAAATGTTGCTTAGGCTCACAAAAATATTACAATAAAATATTATAATTCTATAGGGAGTTTTTTAGTTAAGAGTGACATGTTCAACATTGAATATATACATATATATGAACATAGGTATAAATGTTATATTAATGAACATACATACACGGCCAGTTCTCCAGTCCCTGGTGGTCAACACAGGCATCATCCAGGGGTCACTTCTTGAACCAACCCTCTTTCTGATTTACATAAATTATCTACCTAAGAATATATTGTGATTATTTGTCAATGTCTATGCTGATCACATGGTGATATAAGGGCACACCTCTAAAAGTCTTGACCTGACAACAATGGCCAGCTAACGAGAGGCAGTGTCTCCATAAACCACAGTGAAGAAGGCAATGGGCAACCACTCCACTATTAATTCCAAGACACATCATGGTAAATGACACACACATTATGAAACCTAATGGTGTGAAGGGGGTTAAGTCAATGGGAATTAAATCCTCACCCGGTAAGGACCGACATATGCAACAGGTGTCACAAGACCATCATCCAGCAACTGCTAGCATAAATGGCATAAAGTGGATAAGATTCCTTGGAACCTATCCCTTGCCTGGAAACAACAAACATGAGTGACAGGCAGACAGAAAAACAATAAAGAAGTAGGATTGATACTAGATCAAGAATTCAAGAAATGCATTCTGAGATACTATCAATTATCTGAAAGAATTCTGGTAGTCAAACTGAAAGGGAAAACCTTTCAACATAGCTATCATAATAGTGATGCTCATCAACAGACTGCATAAAATCCAAGGATGGAATGCTCATATTAGAGAAGGAAAAAAATCTTCAGTGAGTAACGAATATATTGGAGAACTCTTTCATTGTGAAAGAGAACAACCAGCAATACACAAAATTACCAATGGGCCTGAAATTCTAAAAACTAATATAGAAGCTGCACAGGTCAAACTGAACAGAAAGAAGGTGGCAGGGCCAGACAGAATTGTAACAGAGATGGTGACAGACATAGATTATTTTGGCATAGACAAGATTACAGAAATAATAAATGAAATCTACAACAGTGGGGATGTACCAGATCTTAGAAGATCTATTTTCATAGCCCTATCTAAGAAACCAGGTGCAAATGAATGTGAACTCCACCAAACAATCAACCTAATGAGCCACATAACAAAACTCATCATCCATATTCTGTTGAATAGAGTGTGCAGCAGAATCAGGCCAGAGGTAGGACAAGAACATTGTGGGTTCGTTAAAGACACCAGAACAAGGAATGCAATATTCATGCTCAGAATGTTATCAGAAAGAGCAATACAAATGCAGAAGTACATGCATCTATGTTTTATAGACTAAGCAAAGACGTTCAACAAAGTATGTTACAAAGCTCTGTTAGAGGTGCTCTGCAACCTTGACATATCCAGGAAAGACATTAGAATAATCAAAAACCTCTACTGGCAGCAAACCTCCTGAATAAAGATAAAAAATGAGTTCAGTAGATATACAAAAATAGAAAGGGGCACAAGGCAAAGATGTGTCTTCTCACTGAACTTATTCAACGTATATAGCAAGACAATTCTAAGAGAATTGGAAATCCTACTGGGATTCA